TATAAATCGGACCATGATCAATATTTTTTCTTTGTCCCATTACTTTCGAATTTCAATGCCAACGATTTAGACCGCAATCAATTAATGTGTCTCTGAAAACCTATCTATAAATTATATTTAGTCAAATTATCAGAAAATCTAAACAATAATGTAAAGCTTTTCAAATTATCATTCGTTATTGGTGGTGAACCACACACAAAATACTCACGAATGATCGACAAACTAAAATCATAAATTTTTCTTAGCATTTAAATTTTCAATAAACTGCCATAAATTATAAAAATACAATAACAAGAGAAAAGTTTTAAAATATCAAAAAAACTGCTAAATTATTTTAAATACACAATATACAAATGACATGCAGTTCAATTGGTGTTAATTAAATCCACAAAAATTTGAAACAAACCCCCCAAAAAATACTATTCGTAACAAAGTAAATAAACAAGAATAAAAGCAAAAGAGTAGAAAAATCATTGAAGCATTTCATTATTTGAGAAGCAACATCTCGGCGGCAGCAGCAGCAGCAGTAACTAGAAGAAATTCTATGCTCGATCGCTTATTTTATTTTTTGCTTTAAAATTTTGACTAGTTTGGCAGTTGTCATGATCGTGTGTTAGAAAATTTTCACTGTCTGGCGTTTAAATGTTAAAGAATATGCTGTTGATGGTGAAGATGATGACGTCGCTGGCGATGATGCTGAATGCTAAGATGTGGTGTCTTCTAAAGAAAGGCCATAAATTATAGACATTTTTCTGTGCTCGACAATGTGACATTTAGGCACAACTAACGCGCCAAGTGTGTGTCTGTTTGACTGTAAAGAAGAGAGAGTTTGTTGGGCTGGCGTATTTGTTTGTTTCTTTAAATTGTTTGCCAACAACAATAAAAACAAAAATTCAAAAAATTTTATTTCTATTAAATAAGAAACCTATTGTTGTTGTCAATTTTTTGTAGAGGGTTTATTTGTTAAAATTTCAATTGTATGCTCAGTTTTTGTTTTTGTTATTTTTTTCTTCAAAATGTTGACTTTGACTCCGTTGATAATTAAACCGCAAAGCGAATTTTTTAGTTTTTTTTTCTCCCCTTTAATTTCTTTTAAAATTTTTAAATAGTTTGTATAAATAATTTTAGGCCTTTAATTGAATGTAAAGTAAGGTCAGGTATATTTGATCATAACTTTTGTTTATTTTGAGTTTATGGGAATTTAATTGTTTTAAAATAATATTCCATACAATTGAGTTGTGTGTCATCTTAAAGATATAAATCAAATAAAATCGACATTTGAAATGGGTTAAGTTAATAGGATAAATTAAAGGAAGAACTAAATATATGTATATTAAAGATGAAGGAAATGCATGTTTGAAAAGAAATTTAATAGAACCTTTTAAGTGGATGAACTAGCAAATAAAAAAGATGAAGATTTTCTTTATAAATTAAAGATTTTCTTTATAAATCAAAGGTTAGCGAACTCAAAATCTCAAAGGAATCTGTGAAAAATTATATGAAAATTCAAATTTTAAGACCGATAAGTTTAAGATCAAAATATTATTGGTTAAAATAGGAGATTATTTAAAATCCTTTACTTTTAGATCTTTGACTTTTTGAAATTGTTCTTCAATTTTTCGTAATAATTCTTTAAAACAAAAAATTCCTTAAAACTAAAAATTACTAGCACGTGACTATGGAGAAATTCTCCAAAAATTACCCTGTTTTCTTTTAAAATTAAAACGCTTTTAATTTAACTTATAAGGCAAGAAATCATTGTATATAATTTAATTTAAAAATCAAATTTAAAAGATAATTTTCAACTTTAAAACAACCTTTAAATAGTATGTATTATGTAGTTATACATAACAGCCAATTCCAGCGTTTATGACCTTAAAACAATGAACTGAAAAAAATGTGGCTAACAAAAATTTAAGAATATTTTTAAATTCACACACATTTTCATGCCCATTGCTGTTATGTAATTGTAGTGTATAGTGCAAATATGGCCAGGTCAAGAAACCCTTTCCATAATATCAGTACAATAACAAAACTAACGTGTTCTTCTCTTTAAACGTCTTTTATACTCGACCAATCGTGTAGAAAAGCAGCAATATGTTGTGTTATTTTCTTTGCCATGTTTTCTATAGCGTGTTTGTTATTGATTTTTTATGAGCCAATTTTACTTCTTAACAAAAAGAGTTACTCCTTTGAACAATATTTGCAGCAAGTTTGCTTAAGCTGGCTTTACACTGTAGGATTTTACGTAAGATTTTTCGTATGAAAAATAAAAAAAATCTATTAGTATGTCAAAAATGAGAATAAAATTATGAATATGATTATTATATTTTTGCGTTTACACTATTGGTACAAAACAATAACAAAGCAAAATGAAGAGAGCTCCCTTTCCTTGCTCTAATGAGACCTGTTTTTTTTTTACTTAATGTCTGGTAGTTTCATTACTATTATTAGTTTAAGACTATTCCATCCATACTCTAAAACAAAAAATTTTGACAGTTCATGTTACTTGTGTGATAGTGTAAACTGAGCTTTACGCGGTTTAATAACAAACTACAAATATACGTAATCCTTTCGATCATAACAGAAGTAAATTTTCATATTTGGGGGCTTTTTATTAGTTATTATTAAGAGATTGAGAAGAGATATTTCAAATAATAAGGAACAAAAAACGTACATATAAAAAGCGGAAATTAAAGATTTTGTCAAAAAGATGGGATGTTATAATGTGAAGAAATTTTTTCAGTTAGCAAACTATAAAACTACGTAAGATTTATGCTTAAGGGTCCAACTGTCTCACTGGTTCAAAATTATGGATTTCACGTGCGCAAATAACAAGCTAAAATTGTTGATATTGTATCCATAAAAGAACCCCAACCTTTAGTATGCTCGAATTTGTGCTTCAAGTAGAGTAGTCGATCTAAATGAACTTGAAGGCATTTCAGTTAAAGAAATACGAAACAATTTGTTTTTTTTTGTTGCTGTTACTGTTGTTTTCTTTATTTACTCGTATATTTTTTTGTTACATATTTTTTTGCTTTTGCTTTATTTTAACTTTTACAATGTCGAACATTTTTTACATGCCTTCAAGTTAATAAGTTTTCATGTTGTACTTGTGCTGACTGCTTCAAAGAAACGTTACTGCAAGGTTTCATCGTAGATCGTCTAAATTGCAAGAGTTGGGTGTCTGCTGTTGGTAGCACGAGTTGGCCAACAAACATTTATATTTATGTATGTATCTACACATTTACATTTAAATATATACTGACTAAACAATGTTGTAGATATTTATAAAGTTTTGTATAGGAAATAATAGATTTAAAACAATTTTATTATAAGATTTATTATAACAGTTTAGAAATTAACAACCTAATGTATATTTTTATACTAAACATTTTCAATTTATAGAATATTTTATTCTTTAATTATTACATACTTATTTGTGAAATACAAATGGTTTTTTATTCTATTCAAACTTTGCACAATGGTTCCGTTTATTACATTTTGTTATCAAAACTTTTTTCGGTTTTCAGAGTTCGGTGAACCTGAACTTTTTGTTATAAAACATGCATTTATGTCCCGAATATGAACATCATGTTGATTTTTGGAAGAGTGTCTTTAATGTAGAATTGGGTCAATTCTATACTAAACTCTTCTGAAATCAAGAGGGTGATAAATTTCCTATAACAAACCATTTTGTTAAATTTTTCTTAATATATTGATTTTTTATTTTCTGTAATAGGGTAAGTGGGCAAGGTCTATTAAGGGCCGATTCTTCTGAAATTTTGGTTCATAAAAAAATATTTATGTATAATTTCATAACTCTACTTGTATTTTTAAAACACGTCATTTTCTAAAGCTCACCATACATGGGGCTATGTTCAAATGTGGATCGATTTTGTCCATATTCAATACCAACAACAAATTTTCTGAAACTTAAACTTTCATGGTCTATACTTAAGAATTACTTAATACCCATAATTATGAGATTTCAATTAAAAAAAACCTAATATTCAGAGTAAGAGGGGATCTCAAAAAAAAAATTAAAGTAAAATAATCATTTCCCTACAAATTTTAAAATGTATCATAAACATAAGGTGATGGAATTTAAAATATTCCTTAGAAAATATATCAAACATCTAAATTCTCTCTAATATTCATCTCCCTAATATACATTGTACATATTATGTATGTGTGTACATATACATACGTAGATATGAATATAAACGTAGCATGAGCATGTTCAACCATCAATGTAAAGAAATGTTTTTTTTTTATATAATTTTAGTGCAAGTACTACCCACTTTTCTATATTACATGCTAAACTTTTTCTGAAGACTAAATATAATTATGTCCTTTACCGGTTCTCTTTTGTAACACAAATAGTCAGATATAAACAGAAGTTATAAAGAATCAAATCTTAAAATCCAGAGGTTATTTTGTTTTTATTACTTGAAATTCAGTCTCTCGAAAGTTTTATTTTTGTAGACTGCATACCTTTAATTAGCTGCTTTCACTAAAAGCTTAAAATGTACAAAGGGAAGTTTACAATTTACCCTGCTATTAACATAAAAATTATGTTTGACTTGTACTCCTTTTTTGTCGACCATATTATCAGTTCAATTTAAAACACTTGAGGGCTCTTTAGAGGAAAAAAAAAGAAACGCTGATTTTTTTCTTTTCCACTTTGCACAATTGACCATTGTTTTCTTATTACTAAGAGAATTTATTTTCTTTTTATATAAAATGGAATTTCCATATGATTTGATCAAAACCAAAAATAATTCGGCATGAAAATTATTGTGTAAACATGAACATTATTGAAATTGCTCAAATTGCAAAAACGTTATAATCATATTCAACCACTTTACTTAAGGTATTTTTTTTTTAAGTTTATCAGATATTTTATGTTCTTTTTATTTTTAAAACTTAAAACGTTTATAGCACAGTAACCAGCATATAACATGATATTTTTAATTTTTTTGCTTTCTTTTTTTTAGATTTTATAAGGGCTGGTGTTTTTAAAACCAGCTTTTGTGTAGAAACCTTGAGGCTAAACTTTTAGCCCAATTAATCCTTATCAAAATACCGGCCATCATGGATCCTGATTGTTTCGCCATGTCCTCATATCAATTTGTCAACTCGCTGGCATCATGCTATCCCCAACAAATGAATGCACAACAAAATCATCCGGGCAATCCCAGTGGTGCCGCTAATACACCCAACAGTAATGGTGGACCAGGAGCGGGTAGTACGGGTAGTGCCAATTCTGGTGCTGCCACTCCCGGCAATGATTATTTTCCTGCTGCCGCTGCTTATGCTCCCAACTTGTATCCAAACACACCTCAGGCTCATTACGCTAATCAGGCTGCTTACAGTTTAGGCGCGGGAGGTGGCGGTGGTACTGGTGCCCAAACAAATCCTCCAGAAATGGTGGACTACACTCAGCTACAGCCACAACGTCTCCTCATGCAACAACAACAGCAGCAGCAACACAATGCCCATGCGTCAGCGGCGGCCCAGCATGCAGTTAGTCAACAGCAGCAACAACAACAGCAGTTAGGACAACAACACCCGCAACAGCAGCAATCAAATATTAGTTGTAAATACGCCAATGATCCCTCAACACCCACCGGCAACAACAATACCACCAGCAATAACAATAACAATCAATCATTGGCCAGTCCCCAAGATCTATCGACACGTGATATTTCCCCCAAACTATCGCCTTCATCGGTGGTGGAAAGTGTGGCCCGATCACTGAACAAGGGCGTGTTGGGTGTGAATCTCAATAATAATCATGCGAATAGTGTGAATGTACCGATGCACAGTCCCGGTGAGGGTGATTCCGATTCGGAAAGTGATAGTGGCAATGAGGCGGGCAGTAGTCAAAACAGTGGTGGCAAGAAAAATCCTCCACAAATATATCCCTGGATGAAGAGAGTACATCTTGGTCAAAGTAAGTAAACTAAATTAATAATAAGATTATTATTAAGTTTAAGATTATGTAGGAGTAAAACACTAGAACACAATCTTGGCAAAAGGGTTTAGCGAAGATTTTCCTAACTACTAAATATTGTTTGCATTGACAACATTTCAAATGAGTTTACATTTAGAAAATAAACAAAACAACCCATTTTTCATTACCATAACTAAAAATGTTCATATCACTACTGATACCAGATTGTCTGCGATTCAAATTGCCCAAATTTTTACACCTTTTTAAACAAATAATAAAAAAATGGTTTATGATTAAAGGGTGAGTGTATGGGAGTTTATTTACTTATATATTAAAGGAGTACTTATTTCAACACAGTAACTTGTCAAAACAAATAAACAATTCCAAAAATGTTCCATCTATTCCATCCGATGATATCTATACCACAATGAATGAATTTTCTTCAAAGAGTTCATGCTGCGTGAAAATGATCGGTGCGAATAACAAAATTACTCTTCTGGTACGTATTTACTCACTTGCTGTACGAACTCCCACCAACTAGTCTGACGATGATGATCATACACTTTCTCTCACACGCACATACCTATAGGGATTCCAAATATAGAATATTTTTAATATAAATAATAAAAAAATGATCTTTCTTTGCTTTGAATATATTTTGTAGCTGTGAGTCTACGTTTTAGAGAAATTGGGAAAAAAGTAATGTATGGGAAAAACCTGCATGAATCGTAAAATATAAATAATGACTAACAATTTTTCTTGGGTGTCAAAGTTTTGGGGTGCACAAGAATAACAACAAATTCAAGAACGTGAAAAAGAAGGCAGAAAATAAAATTGTTCTCTGCTTTGGGTCTTTAAATTAAACGCCAAAAACTGAAAATTGATAAAGGCGAGAACTTATGACCTATTGACAGACAAACTCACGATTTATGTTTAATTTTATTTATTTTTTTTTAATTTTTTTGAGCACTTCTGGTTTCTCTAACAATCTCAACAAATTAAAATAAAATTAACCTGAAAAATTATTTCAAGTTTTATTTCTTTTTTTTGCTAAAAAAAAGTAAAACAAAACATGTAAACAATTTTGTACTTTTACAAAACAAAGCAGTTGTACTAAAAATGATTTACGTGATTTTTTAAATCAGATATTAATAGATCTGAAATATTAAAACAACAACAACAAAAAACTGCATTCATTACATGTTGCTGCTGCTTGTTTTTATTATTATTGTATGTACATTTGATTGTTTATTTGTTATTGTTGCTGCTGCTGTTGCACTAATGGGAAAATAATTATTATAAACAACAACAACAATAATATTAATATTATTTGTTGTTGTTGTTTTACAGTCACCTCAACTAAATAAACTGCAAATTTACGTGCAAAACGTTACGTATAATAAAATAACAACAACAACAGCAGCAGCAGAAGTCGAAAAAAAGAAAATATTTTATTACCAACTTGTGGCAGGCCCGCAGCAGCCAAATCAACTAAACCTCATCATGCAACATGTACGAAAACTTTTGACTAGATCCATACAGCTGTTGTGTTTAAAACTAAATGGCTTTTTAGACTTTTTTTGTTTGGGAATTTTATTTTGATTTTGTTGTTATTGTCGTCATTTCTCTGTCTTCTACTAAGTAATAGACAGTAGTTTCTTGTTGTGGTAATTTGCTCTCACTACATAAAATTTCATTGTTGCATTTTATTTTCATTTATTTTGTTTGACGTTGGCAGACGATGATCATCATCATTATCATTAACGCTGTCGAGGGAGAGAGCTTTAAAAGAGTGTAGTTATTTAAAAAATATGTTTATTTTTGGTGATTTTTTGAGGAGACATTGCTCCTTAAAAGTTGAATAGTTTGAGTACTTCTTCATAGCCCTTTATAGCCTTTGTTTTCCCATACGAATTCTTACTTTTCAACCTCTGCTAGAAAAAATCAAACAAACAAACATGTTTTATTGTGCTCAACGAATTATGATAGAATGTAATTAAATCTTGTTGATGCATTAACTTGATTTTTTTTTTGGTGTCTCTCTCACTATTTTGCTAGTATTTTACTAGCAAAACAGACATTAATCATACGTATACTACATATAAAAATTGTTAAAATCTAATTAATTTCGTACAACTATTTGACTTTAATATGATTTTAATTATTATAATTATTTTGCAACGTAAAAAAGAACTTTACAATAATACATTTTTGTACAAACAAAATGAAACCTGTTTCAGTGCAAACACTAGCTACTAAGTGACAAATAATCGATAAGCAGTTATCGCCAATTTATCACCACTTGCTCAAGCTCAAACAAAGTACAATCAATTAAAAATAAAGTTGCCCCAAAGACGTTTTATTTATTATTCATATGTATAAATTATAATTTAAAATTTATTTTTAAAGTTATCGAACTTTAGTTAATTGTGATGCCCTTAGGCTAGTGTAATATGTATGAATATTTCATGGATTCCAACATTTTTTTTAAACAAATTACTAAAGCGAAACAAGTTTTGAATTAAATTTTAAACTGAGAAATTTTGCAATATAAAGAAAGGTTTATAATTTATAAATACAATATTTCGTTTTTATTAAAAATTTAAAATATTTTAACTATATTTTAATAAAAAAGCAAATAATATGTCATTTAAAAAATGCAAAAATTCAGTGGATATAAATTTAACCAAAGATTATTTTCAGTGTAATTTTCAAAAATTCACCTGATCTAGAGAGCAAAAGAAATGTTACTTCATTCATTAAAATGATGTGTTTTTGTGGCCAGTGGACAAGTTTAATAAGCGTTTGACATTTTTACTTAGATATTAGAAAAAAAAAATAATTAAGAAAATAAAAAAATTTGCATATACAACCACAACTAGTGGGTGATATATAAAAATAAAAAAATTCATATAATTTTGGAGAGAAGCCAAATATAATTACATAAATTATAAATAAAATCAACACAAAGAATTCATTAAATTGAAATTTATTTTAATTAAATATTCATTTATTAACAGAATGAAAATTCAAAATATATTTGGTTGTTTTATGTTTAAGAAATTAAATGAAATGCAAATTATTTACTAAGAATTTTATAAACACAAATTTGTGATATTTTTTTTTGTGCCAGCCATACACAGGTTGAACAAGTTCTGATATTTTAGACAACATGACTAAAACAACCCAAGTAACTACAATAAAACTAAAGTTTAAACCATAATTATTTAAGGTGATCATACTGAACAAACACTTTCGGAAAGCAACCACCACCATTATCATCAATTTTAACTCTTTTTTCTTCATACAACAATGGCGTTTTTGTTTAACAAAAAGCTAAAGAAGTTATACATACATATAAGACACCAAAATTTTTTATAAAGTACCAGAAGAGTACTTTACCCATCATCTTGGGCTTCGTCTTTTAAATTATGATTATGAGATGAAAATGGTTTTGTAAACTTGACGTGATTATATGCAATAAATAGAGCATTTTATGCATGTTTTCTTCGTGTTTTTCTCGTTGTTTTTGTTTTAAGGCCAGACTGTTTACTTGCTTCTTTTAACTTCAACATAAATGGCTGCAACAAATACCTTGTCTTGGCTGTGTTTTTGTACCTTTTTCTGACACAAGTTAGAACATGAAGCTAACATGAGCTTTTTTGAAACTGCTACCAATTGCAATTAGCATAATTGTTTAACATCATGTTGCTTGTTGCTCTTCTCCCTTTTTTTTTTTTGCTACAGACATTCTGACAAAACCTTTTTGTCGTCGAACTTGTGCCCCAAACATGTTGGCCATGTTTAATATATGAAAAAAAGAACAAGCAATACTAATTTAACCCTTGTAAGAGGTCGAAATAATTTTCTTAAAATTTAAATTGAAAATTTTTTCATTCAAAATAGATTTATAATCTAAATGTAATAATTTTTTCAAAATCAAATTATTGAAATTTATTGAATAGTTTTCGCTAGTTTATGACAAGTTATAAAGTTCTTTCTTTATTAAAATGTAGTGATCAGCAAACCAAACACTTTATAACATCAAAAAATTTACTCATTCTTAATTTTATAAATATCTGTTCTAGATTTATATGTTTAGATATGTTTCATTGTTTTTGAGAACTGTCAAATGTGTCAATTTCATAAAATTCTAAATATTTGTAGATTGCTTTCTCTTTGATCTGTTGGAGAAAATGATGAAGTTGATATAACTCTTTCTAAAAGTTAAATAAAACAAACTTGATGAACCTTTAGTATTCAACAACATAAAGTAATTATATTAATTGTTAATCAAAAGCATATTACGTTCAGTATACAAAATTAAAATAACAATTTTCAATTTAATATATGAACAACGAGAAAAAGCAAGTTATTTTCTTGGATACAACTGCCTGTTAGATATAATTATCGGAACAAGTTTATAAAACAGAAAAAACAAAGTTAAGTGTTAAACCTTATAAATATGAAACCATTTAATGAAGTTTTGAAATAATTATGTTTCCCTTCTCGAAAGACAAGTGGCAGTTTATAGTATTTTAATGCGAAAAACCAACATTTTCGTTTTTTTTTATCATCATCTTCACCATTGACCAACCATCATCATCATTATTATGATAATTACTGAATCAACAAGTTGCTTTTATTAAACAATTTATTATGAACTTTATTTTGCCATTATCTATACTGCAAAGGATCGTTAAATACAACACATTAGATGTGGCCCATGGTAGTGTGATCGACTGAAGAAAAAAAGTTATTCTTTTTTTGGGTAAAAACACGACAAGGTGTTTTTTAAATTAAAATATTTATTAAAAAATAAACATTTCTTGTACTTGTATGTAAGCGTACAAAATTGTTTAAAAGTTTAGAATGCTGCCTTCATTTTGTTAAAGTTTTTTTTTTTATAACCAACAATCATTAAGATTTAATTAATTTTAATTTCTGTTGTTGATTTAATAAAAATTGCATAAGAAAAATAAATACTTTGTTTAATTATAGGGATTACTGGGAAAGTTCAAATGATTTATCGGTACATTGTTTAAAGACTAAAAGGATTAATTTTTATAAAAACTTTATAAATTTTCTCAAGTTTTGTTGCTTACTTTTGAATTTAAATCTACGAAATGATTATATTATAAATTCGCATTTTTCAAATCAGTTATAGCAACTATATTGTTTAATTCAAGAAAGGTGAAAACGGTATTAGTTAATTTTTCTCCAATTTATCGATGTTTACTTTTAACCATTTTAGGAGGCAGTTGGAGAAACAAAATGAAAGTTATTTCCCAATTAAATTCAAAAGTTTTTAAAAGTATAATTATTCTTAGTTATACCAAATTTAAGAAATTTATTTAATTGTAAATACAATAAAAATAACTGAATCTAAAGTTTTTAATTTCTTCATTAGTTTTAACTTTATTGGCTTCCAAAAGGTCTTAAACCCATATAAGTACGTACATATGTATCTACAAAATGTTGATTAACTTGTAACGGATATTAGAATAATCATGAATTGCCACCACAATTAACTAAGAAATTTTATGAAAAACTTTAAGAAAATAAAGTCATTTTCATTTCTAACAAACAAAACTTTAATAAGCAATTTTTAATGTTGTGGCTGCTGTTGCATGTATGTGGCAACAATTAAAACATTATCAGCAACATAAATGTTAAAACAAAAGAAAGTAGAAAAATCTTAAAATAATCTAACATAACAAAAGGTGTAGACATTTTTAATTGCTGCACCTAATAACAACAAGAACAGCAACAATCACGCCAGCAACTGCAGCAACAACTAGAAGTTGCAACCCCCATAATTATAAAAACATTAGATTGTTATGGCAGCCAGTCAGTCAGCCAGCCATCCAGCAAAAACATGGATGGAGTATGCAAATAATATATTTTTAATAAAAAATATGAATAAAATAAACTATTAAGGAAAATAAACTAAAACTTAAAATTTTAAATTCTAATTCTAAACAAAATTCAATAAACTTTATGTAGTCTGTTCTTGATGTTGCTGTAAGTTGATTTGTTTTTTACATTTCATTTGCATACAATATTTTTTTGTGATTTGATTTCATAATACTAGTACAAAAATGTGAACAACATACAATATTATAGCAGCTGTTGATAGAACTTTGAAAATAACGACACAGACATGAGACAGCACAAGTAGCAAGTAGAGTGGCAGGCAGGCAGGGTGGTAGTATAGATGTGGCAGCAACAACAGAAAAATGACTGAAAAACAATCAACAGCATTTAAAGAAAAATTAAAAGAAACATTCTTTATGTTTGAGACATTTATATGGGTTGTCGTTGTTGTTGCTATATTTTTTAAGTACTCGACGACATATTGCAAAATACGAATAACAACAACGCTTCAATGTTTTAGTTTTTTTTATATTTTTCTTCCTCACACACAAGATTTTTTGTTACAAAAAAAAAAAAATGTTGCAAAATGTCTATCAATATTAAAATTCATAAAAATACACAAACACGCATTCGTATTTTCAACACACACATTTGTCTAAAATGGTGATCATTATTAACCCTTGTGGAGCCCAATCATTAAATTTGAGTTACTTATTATCATTTTCGAAAGATATCAGCTTTTTGGACAATTAGGTTAATAAAGGAGAAAGCAGAAAGGTTTATAATAATTTTAACATTATTTTCTCAGCACAGCTGCCAAGTCTATTAAAACAAAACAAAGCTTTAGCTAAAAATTGAACCCTCTAACCCAAAAATAAAAAACACGTTTTTTTCAAAACTCTTCCTAAAAATGGATTAATATACTCCACTTCCCTTTACATCCCCATAATGGTCTATATATTGGCTTACATGATCTTGTATAAACATTTATTATCTCAAGAATCTTATTCTACTTACACATTTTGACATGCACTCCCATCCCTGAGAATTGCATCAAGTGGAAAATGAAATAATAATAATAATAATCAGTTTAATAATTGCAAAAATATACAAAACAAAAAATGCTTAAGAACAAAATATATATTCTAAGACAGAAATTACTTTGATCCCCAGCTACATACATATACTAGGGAACACATACTTGCAGACGTCATCATATACATTCACTTGAATATGAATACAAATAAAATGCTACATACGTATGATTACACCATTTGCAACATTAAAATAAATTTATAAATTCTAAGAATCTGTTGTAAAAGATGAAGACACTTAAAATATTGATACAAAGATGATTTTTTCTGAATTATGAAAAATTTAAATTTTTGGTTTTGGAATACATACATTAATATTTGATAAAACTTATTAATTCTTTTAAAATAATGTCTGACAATGGTGTAGTTGTGATTAAAAACATAATGTAACTTGTGCAATTAATTGCATGTTTTATACATTTTCTCTCTCTTATAGTTGAAGTACAAAGTGTTTTTTAAATAATTTTGTTCCTTTTAGTCTATATTTTTTTGTTCATTAATGCCTCCACTTTTCTAGAGAATAAATTAAGTAAGCAATTAGTTTTAAAAGTAATTAACAAAACATGAATTATAAATTACTTAAATAAAACTTATTTAAAACTTAATTTATTAAAAGTAGTTACTGTTAATAATCAAAAGCTCTTGGTTATGTAGTAATTGAAGCTGATAATAGAAATGGACCTAAAGTCACTTACCAAAGGACGATCAAAATTTTACTTTTCCTACAGGTCGCAATTTTCAAGATAATTTGATGAAATTTGGCAAAGAAGAGTATGCTTTTGACCCAAGGAAAAATCGGTCCATTATTTCGTATAGCCTCCATACAACCGTACCCCCGAATGGGGCTTTTTAGCTCATAAATATGTTAAATATTCTTGTATCACTTCAAAAATTGGCAAAACTTAGTTTTATATAAGTCTTAATGATACTGCTGATTTTCGTAATGATCGGGCCTCATGTGACCCTTTTTTCCACACAAAATCTCCTTCAGAAAATGACTTGATGGTCAAAATTCACTTATAAACACTAACATCACCATAATATTCTGCATACCTATCCGATGTAGACGTAAATCCTTCTACCAAAATTTATAAGGATAGGATCATATTACCCCGCTGCCTCCATATAACCCCACTTTTGAGAAAATCTCTTTTTTGTCAACAAATTGTTAAAATATTTCTGAATTTAAGTAAACATATAATTAAGTACTTTATTATTAAAAAAATAATCAAAACTTGTAGCATAATCACTGGTGTAGGGTATCATATGGTCGGCCATGCCCTACTATAAATTTTTACTTGTTTTATAATAATTTAAACATTTTTTACACTTTGTTGAAGGAGCTTTAGCGTTACTGCTCAGTTTTAGAGATAACAGCAATATCGGATAATGGTGCTCAAATAATAAAAATTAAAAAAGTATCTAGGAAAAAAAATTTTAATAGCCTTGTTGTAGTTTTTGCTCAAATTATTTTTATAAAAGAAAACAACACTAAATATGACTTTCAAACAAGTTTAAAGTAAAATATTTTTTTGTGTGGCGGACTTGATTTGAACCTGCAAGCAAAAGAAGATAAACCAAAAAATACAGTTTTTTAAGTTTTTGATTTTTTTGTTGCAAGTAATAATAACAAACCAAGAAATATAACAAAAACGCCAAACATACATACAGCCAGCACCTTTAAGGTTTTTTCGTTTTTAATGTTGTGGTCAAAAACTTAAAACTGAATTCTTTTAACTCCCATTTTTAGATTTCTTGAGAGAAATATGTATATAGGTATATGTATGTAAAAAACCCTCAATCAGCATCCTTAAAAAACCATTCAAGTATTCCATTTCATTACAATACACTGGATTGCATTTCATTTCGGTGTATGTATGGAGTTTTTTTTTTATTACATTTCCCCCAAAACTGTCTGGCCAAGGTATGGTGAGCATTCGTTACTCAATTACATTTTCATTAACTTGGTACACGATTTCGCGTACAGCCAACATTTAATCATAATGATTATGATTACGTTGCAGTTTAGTTGTTTTTTTCCTGTTTTCTTCAATGGTCAAACTGCATTTGTACTCCCTACAACATTTTGCTGTTGTTTTACACTTGTAGGATTGTAATTTGTTTTTGGGGCCAATAAAGAAAAGAAAACAAAAATAAATAAACAAGATTGTCTTACAATTTATAAAATAATAATAAAAAATCAAAAAACCTTCAAGTGCTGATAGAAATTTGTTATTTTTCTTTAACCATATCATGGTGGATAGAGGGAAAATAGAAAAACCAGCAGTGGCTGTTTAATTTAAACAGCCAACCATTTTTCTCCACCATCATGCAACTTTTAACTACTCGTGTAACTACTCCAAAGCAACCGATCAAGCATTTCTAATAAATTCAAAGTCAAGGGTCAATAATTTAGCAAACACACAGAGTAGTCAGTTAGTCCCCATAATGAAGCATAAGAGTGTTGGGGCGGAAAGTGTTATTTGATCAATTTTCAATAAATTATAAATGCAACGAATCAAACACACACATACGAAATAAATAAATACTTGTTTGTCCATTGCACAGATTTTGAAGCTTTTTTCTTAATAGAAAACGACTAAAAGTTTTATAATTAAAGACGCTACATTTGTTATGTGTAATATTTTTGTATGTTTTTCATTTCACAGTAATGGAGCTTAATGAAATGAAATTCATAATTTGTCTTTTTTATTTAGAACGCATGATCTATAGAAACTATTAGTGAAAGTTGACTTGCGTTAAATAATGCACACAAATATCTTGGCACTACCAATGAAATATCTTTTTGTGGCACATTGTATAAATTTTAATATTTTCATAATTTTCTTTAATAATTTTATAAATATTGCGAAGAAAGAATAAATAAAGGCAAAAAAGCAATAGAAGCATATTTCGTCATCAGAGGCTTCCCTATATAAATGCGGTCTAATATTATAGCTAATTGTCCGATTATTAAGAAATAGGACCTTCTCTAAAACATTAATGAAAGTAGTTAGAGGAATTTTCCAAAAAAGGTCTCCTATGATTCTTATGTTGAAGTCAATTATGGTCTGAAATCTTTTGTTATTGATATCTTCAATTAGGGTGTACCAGCATAAAATAAGGAGTTAAAATGCTAAAATTTACTTACACAACAGCATTTTATGTCATTATTCAACACGGGAATGACATTGGAGTCTAGTACTTACCACGCTCGTTTACAAACAGAGAGTTAGGTATGTACTTACTATGATCGTCTGCAAAAGGGAGTTCAGTAAGTAGTTTTGTTTCTGAGAAAAAAATTGCCTACGTGGATACGTAAACTGCGTTTATTATTAGTTTTCCACAAAAAAAATATATTTTTATATTGGGCTTGTGCTGACATTTGTAACGCACAATAATATTGGTCTAGTGAAATAATGGACCGATCTTAACCATTTTCAATAGGTTTCGCCCCTGGGACAGTAGAAGATCACCATACCATA